TATTGTTCATGACTCGAGCTTCAAAACTTATCGGCTGGTTTTTTCTTAAACTGAAAATTGGCTGAGCCTTAGGGTTGATCGGCGCATGTAACGTTGAATGTTGATGAGAACGTACCCTCATTAAAAAACTTGCATACTCTCGGTTTTGACTACGCTCAATTAAAGGTTTCTAAAGTAGCATTAGAAGAATATAAAAGATTGGAAAAGGTTAACGCTGAAGGGTTGCGAAATGTGATAAAGCGGTAAATAGATCTGTCATTCATTATCATGTTGTGAAACACATCAATCTTTTCTAATGTAATTTTTTACGACTAAAAAAAAAATAAACTATTTAATGATTGCTGCTCCTGCGAAGTAAAACAATGCCCATTATTATTCACTCCGCAATGTTCGGGTGTAACGTCATACATAGTAAATTTGCAAAATTTTGGAACATTTTGTTTGCACTACAACATAAAATTTTTACCAACTTTGATATGTCAACTTTTCGTATTACAGGAATTTGTGGGTCATTGAGAAAAGAAAGCGTCAATAAAAAATTGCTGTTACGTGCTCAACAATTATGTTTACAACATTTACCTGAAGCTACAATTGATATTGTTGATTGGAGTCAAATACCTGTTTATAATGGTGTATGTTCTAATATAATAAATAATTATTAGTGTTAGATTATTTATTGATTGATGAAGAAAATGGTCAACGTTTTAATTTTCAGGATTTAGAAGCAAATCCTCCAGAATCTGTATTGAAATTTAAAGATGAAATTGCAGATCGAGATGCTGTATTATTTGCCACTCCAGGTAAAGTTATCAATTAAAGAATTAATTAAAACAATCGTAATTATTAATCAAATCTTTTCATATAGAGTATAATTGGAGTATTCCAGGTAAATAAATGAATAAATAAAATTTTTAGAGAATTTTTTTCCAATACGCCTCATCTATTTATCTATCTATTTATCCGTTTATCTAGGACCATTAAAAAATGCAATCGATTGGGCAAGTAGACCAAACATTGGTAATCGTGGTGCGGTATTTTCTGGGAAAGCTGTCGCAATAATGGGAGCAGCACCTGGAGATGGGCCTGGAGCTTCTGGTACTGGTCGTGCTCAACTTATATTGCGTCAATCTTTTGTTTTTTTTGATATGGTGCCAGTTAATCTGTAAGAAAACAATGAATTTTTTTGCATTATTGTTTGAATATTTGATTAATGTATATTTATGATACTTATCATATTTTATGCAAATAATGATGACGATGAATAGACCAACTGTAATGGTTACTGGAGCTTATAAAGCATTCAAAGAGGATGGTAGTTTGATTAACGAACGTATTGAACAAAATATTGTCAAAGTGTTGAAAAATCTTGTAAAATTGGGTAAAAGTTTAAAAAATGCAGAATAAAATGGCGAGCATCACGTCACAAATTTATCGGGTTAAAATTTTACCCAGAACATATAAATAATAATAATAATAACATATATATAAACTTACAAAACAAGATGACTGTTCGCGATATCTTTACGCTCTTCCTTTCAATAACAAACAGAATGTTATCCTTTTGGTCTTCATGAATAATAATTGCCGGTTCAATCAATATTGAAAAGTTATGCAACTAGTAATTGTTATTATCATCTCTCATGTCAAAGATAAATAAATGTTTTAGTAACTAGTCAAATTTTTCATACCATTTCCATATACAATCAAACCTCATTATAACGGACCTTGTTATAACGGATTTTTGTTATACATTAATATACCAAACAAAATCCTATCCCTAGTAAAAAAAAATCCATATTGTGTTCTTCTTTGAAGTGAATCATTAGTTTAAAAATGTCAAAATTGTTTTTATTGATATTGAAATAATCTTATCACTTACGCCAGTTGATGAAGGAATTAAAGAAAATGTCATATTCCAATTAAAGATGCTGTTACTGCTTTTGAAACTGTTCATAAATTTTTTGAACAAGATAACAATGGTTTAGAATTAGATTATAATGAACTCAAAGTGTTTCGTGATTAAAGAAAAAAATTAATTTGTATAATTCTAAAAGTTTAAACCAAGGAAAATTAATTTAAACAACAATCACATTTATCAGTTACAATTTTTATTGTTAAAAGTATCATGTGATGATCTCAGTTACCGAATACCTCGTTGTAATAATAACGGATCATTGGGGCCAAACCGAGTTCGACTGTATATATAATAACAACAATAACTCAACACGTGCGGATCATCTATATTCAAAAGTTAAATTTTTGAAATATTATATGAGTATAGGGACATTCAGTATGGTATAACTCTTGCAAAACGTATGGTATGGTATTGTATAAAATGGTTGTATACCAATGCTTAAATCTAACATACTTCCCTTCACACCCACCAAAAAAGGATTTAGAATAAAATTTTGTGTGACTTGGTATGGAAAAATATGGCTATACCATACCATACCATACGTTCTGCAAGAGTTATACCATACTGAATCTCTCCCTACCGGAGGTTGAGCTCAACTTATTTTGGTTAGTAGAAAGTCATTATGTACTACACAAAATGAAAATTTATTTCCAGTATTGATATGAGATTATCCTAAAATCCGAATGTTTTTTTCTTCGAATACTGCGACAACCATTTTTTATTAAAGAAAAACGTCATTTTGAAGTAGTTGCATGTATTGAAATAGACAACAAAATTTGGACCTTTAAACCCTTTATTTTTTTTTTTGCAATTTAATATTCGATTTAATAAACAGTTGACTCTTCCTCTCTGTTCCTTTATCCCATCCATTTTATATATCGTGGAACATCCTTCTTTATAACCAACAAAAGAATATGCCAAATTAAGCATCTAATTATATTAATATTTAAAAAGACGGTCGTTGAAAAAACCCTACTTAATAAGTGATATAAAATTATATCATTTGTTTCGGGGGTTTTTCTTATAGATTTTTATAAAGTCTACCTACATATATCATTAAGAAATGAGAATACTATCCATCGAATCACTATTATAATCACCATCAATTACTCATCATTCTTTTTATGATATTTAAATGAAAAATAATTCATAAATACAACTAGTGTTGATTGCCAAAACTATGTAGTTTCACAACTGTGCGAAAGTCAAAAGGTTTTTCCATAAGTCGAAACTAGTTTTGACTTTTGACTTTTTGATTTAGTTTTGACATATAACTTTTAAGTTTAGTTTTGACTTTCGCCTCTTCGAAACAGTATTGGCAACTAACACTAAATGCAACCAGATATTTTTTTCATATTTTCTAGAAAAAAAATTGGTAATAAATGCCAAATAAATTAGCTATTAAGATGATAATATTATGAGTTACTCTTTATTATAAAACTCACAAATTGCCTTCCCAGAAGAAAATTTGTTCTTCCATTAATTTCTTGTAATATATTTTTATTTTGTCATATGAAGTTTGTTTAAAAGAGTCAGGATAGTAAGTCATATATACAGATGCTGTGCATTTCGATATTTATTACACATTAAAATTGGAATGTTTAATTGTTGCTGTCTTAACCAAAAAAAAACCCGAATTATTTTTTTGCCACCTGACCATTACAATGAAGCATAACAGAATATTCCTTAATGATATATTTGCTTTAGTGTTACTAATTCTATTATTATTATTATAGTTTATTGAAAGATAATAATATAACAGTTGATTCATAATGAGCGACATAAGAATGTTCATTATTTAAAAGAAATTTTAAATAAAATATTAACATTTTTCGTAAAATATAGAAAAAAAAATTCATACACTTAACCAGTTAAGGCCTTGGTTAACTGGTTTTAACAGGTTAGAGTTTTTATTTTTAGGCCACTTGATTCATAAAAATTAGCGGAAAAAAAAAAGATCCAATTCCAAAAAAACAATTATCACACCGAACTCTTTAAAGTATTTAATGCAGGATTTAATAAAAGTACTTTTTAATGCAAACTTCACAAGCATTTTGTCGATCATTTGTTCCCTGTTTTCTAAAAAAAGGTGGTGTGATTTCACAAGTTCCACGCAAAATTACAAAATATTAAATGAAATGTGAATTCACAATTCACAAACTACCATTAATATTAATACACACATGTTTGGGTATTAAAAATAAATGCAAACATTTGTATTAAATTAGCCAATGAGAAATTCGCCCACTCACAACAATCCCGAAGATTATTATTATTTATGGTAAATGAGGTGAAAAAAATAAAGTTATATATCCCTCAGCAAAAGAATTGTTAGCGCGCTTGCTCAATATCAATCTCTAGATGTGATCATCGATGAAACCATTTTTATTTTGAATTCCCCAAATAGTTTCGGAAGGAATCTATACTAAGCTAAAACCTAAACTTAAAACTCCTGCTCTAAACTTTATTATAAAAATAAATAAAACCACTCTAAATTGAGGGTTTCAGGTCACAGCATTGATGATCATGATCACATATAGTTCCCATTGTGGTGTTTACCATAAATAGAAATTTAAATAGATGACCATTCTAGAAGTTTACCTCAAAAATAAAAAACAAAAAGTTTATTTATTATTATTATAGTTCGGTGATCTTCCAGGCCTGGTAAATAAAATTCTAGTTGTATAATTATTATTATTCGTCACAGTTTAATGAAAAGGTTTATTATTTAATTTATTTATAGTTTTAATTTCGAAATTCGAATTCTCAAAACCTATTACTATGGTAGGTGTATATAGTTCCGACATCATCATGAATTATATGACTTTGTCACGCAGTAAAAATTTACTTGGTATATCAAGTTTGCATCTCCCAATTAATTTGGTCGACCGTGAGAGAGAAAGAACAAGCAAAAATAAATATTATGTGGTGCGTGTTGTAGAAAAATCAAAAATTCCATTAGAAGAAAATAAATTTAATAGAAACAAAATTTAAAAACAGTTAACGATAATGTTGAAAATAAATTTACAAACAAATCAATTTACAATAATAAATAAATATAATAAATATAACAACAACCTAATAGTGGTCACACTAGGACAAACCTAATGTTTCTCAACCAATAATATCTCTCTTCAAAACTAGGGATTCATCACTGAAATTGATGACGGAGCATTTCGTAATGTGATGCTTTTCAATAATAATAATAATAAGGAATACACATTCATTAGTATTTTTTTGTTCTCATTTTTATTTAAAAAAATTTTTTTTTGTACACTAAAAAAAAAAAAATATACGTAATAATGCATAAAATCTTTTTTGGTACCTATACATGTAATGTTTTTAATATTTCCATGTGTATATTTTTTAAATTGTTTTGGGCATGTTAGGGCGCTGACATATAGAAACGCTGACATATAGAAACGCTGACATATAGAAACGCTTACATAAGACACTTTGATCACGTGTATGACAATTATTTTCCTTTTTTAGGTAACAACAAAGCACAAGCGAAAAAAAATAATTAATTTTATTAATAAATCAAAGTAAAAAATTTTCCTTTATAATATATTATGATGTCATGAAATTCCTGGGTATGATTTCATTGGCTATTTCTTGACCAAACAACCTATTTGGTTCTGAGTGTAATAACTCTTACTTATTCGAAAATTACAAACAATGCATCTTGCTAAAGGAAAATCTAAACAAAACTCAAGGATTCTATTTCTCTCTTCTCAATCACAACCAAAATGACCTCTTTTTGACAAAATATATTTAAGGAAATGTATATCAGATAAAGAATGATCAATTATAACATTTATGTATATGAGAATGTGAGAATTTTATAAATATTAAGGTAATATTACAAAAAAGGTTCTTTTTATGAAAATATACAGAACCTATGTGACAAATAAGAATTAATTCTTAGAGTTGGTAAACGCTCCGTAATTCCTGCCACAAATTTTAATCATCATAAATGTAACGTTGGTTCTACAAAAATTTTGAACTATAATAATAATTTAGCAGTCATAGTCGGTAGAGATTCCGTACACTATTTTTTTTTGCTCCGTATATTTTTATATTTTTTAATTTTCTACGGAACGGAATTTGTGAATTCTGAAAAATTGATTGGTGGGGGCCAGTCTGTACGATCTTCGATTCCATATTTTTGTTTTCATACAGAGCATTTTTTACTACAGAGGCGCAAATGCGCGGAATACGGAACCTTTATAGACTCATAATTTAGTTTCATTTATTGTAGAATGGATTACCATTTTGGTAGGATTCTGTATAATATTAATATTAATATAATATTTTCATTCCTGTAGCACAATTTTTTGTGTAAATCATTCCCAAATTAAAACACTTCATTATAAAAGATTATGTATTTTCTGTCCCCCCCCAAAATATTAGCTAATATTATATGTCAGCGCCCTTACACGAAATTTTTGTTTTTTTCTAAATTTTGTTTATATTGTTTTATAATTTTATTATTTATTATTATTATTATCTAAAAATAATGGCCGACATTTTCTTTTTTTAGATTTTTTTTTAATTCTTATATTTCTTTGTCATTATTATTATCAAGACAAAGTAAATAACATAACACAAATATTTTCCATAAGATTTATTATTATCAATTTTATTATTATAGAAAAAGATATTCAGGGGATCGGGCGAGAATTAGGGAGATAAAAATAATAATAAAAATAAAAATAATAATAATAATAATAATTTTTAAAGTCCGAATGGAAAATCCGAATGATAAACAATGATGTTTTGAAAAAGAAGTGGTAAAATTAGAGTAATGAAGGGATTAAGTAATTTCATAGAAATATCCCGCTTCAGGAACTAAAATGGTTAAAATCATTCATTGATTGGTTGAACCCATGGAGATTTTTCGTTTATACACGGTTTCATTATAATTCTCCGAGACTCTAATTAGATGTTTTAATCATAATCATTTAAAAAAATGTTATCTTTTTTAATTTCGTGTTACATCAAATCAATTATTAACTCATTACACACACATTAATATTAATAAATACATACTAATACACACGGTTCGAATATTTACAATATTTATGCAAGATAAATTCTTTTTTTTTTCTATATCTTTTTTTTTTTTTTTTTGTTTATACTTTAAGTGCCAAACAAACAAAAACATGAGCCAATTTAATTACCAATTTGGTAAATGATTCCAACATAAAGACAATTCATACGTAAAAAATAACCTGATCATTATTAAAAAAAAGCATATAAGAAAGAGCTTTTCTACTGTATTTTTTTAAAAAAATTTTTTAGAAAATTAAAAATTTGTATAAATTTAAAAAAAAAATTTAAATTATTAAACATTTCAAATTGTAATATTTCATTAACCTAGACAGTATCAATTAAATCTTTATAAAATGGGAAATTGTTTTTCTCTAAATAATAGCGATAATAATAATAATACTATTAATATACCATTATCACAATTATCCAACACCTCCGCCAACAATAACAGCATTCCTATTACTATTACAACTACCAATCAAAATAATTCAACAAATAAATTAAAAAACTGCTTACGAAAAAAATTAAAATTACTACGAAATCGCTTAAAACACAGAGACACTACTACACCCAGTTCTTCCTCTACCTCACCCAAAGTTTCACCGTCTATAAGGCCTATAGAATTCGGTGATAATGGTGGTTTTATTAAAGACAATGATCTTGATGATATAATATTTATATCACCTAACGATAATGATGAATTTTCATTACCCGACGATAAGATGTTAGATAATATCGACCAATTGGAAATACCGCATTATTTAAATCGGCAATTATGGAATGCTAATTTTATATCTCCGATACACGATATCTTGTCCAGTCGTAAAAGAGTTCATGTTTTAGATGTTGGGTTAGTTTGTTTTTAATTTTATTTTATTATTAATAGTGATTTTAATTTTTAAATTTTTTTTCTCGTCGTAATCTTTCTCGTTCTTCTAATGATAATGTAGCTGTGGAAAAGGAACTTGGATACTAGACATGTCATTGAAGTATCCATTTTCAATTTTCATAGGAATTGACAGATCACCAATTTTTCCATCACAAAACAATATAAAACAATTGAACGCGACATTTTTATATTTAAATTTGTTAGAGAAAGCGTTGCCATATGATAACAACACTTTCGATTTTGTTCATTTGAGATATTTGAATTTGAATTTACTTAAAGTGAATTGGTCAATTATAATAAATAAACTTATAAATGTTTTGAAAAACTCTAGTAATGATGACATTGGTTATATTGAAATTTGTGAATGGGATTTAGTAACATTTAATAATGGACCTGTTACTAAAAAATTGTTCAAGTCTGGTAATTATTATTATATGTAAATGTATAATAATTTTTTGTTTGGGATTTTTTTTTCTAACAAAATTTTCTCTTTTTTAGTCCAAGAATATTTAATATCAATAGGTATTGAACCAATTATCAGCAAAACGCTCGAACAAATATTAAAAGAAAAACCCGACGAACTAACAGATATTACAATCCAAAAAAAATTCTTTCCGATCGGTAATTGGTCAAGAATTAAAGCAAGAAAACAACATTCATTCTCTTCATTAAATATTGATTACAACAACAGCAACGTCGGTAGTAGTAGCAATAATAATAATAATAATAATAATAATAATAATAATAATAATAATAATAATAATAATAATAATAATAATAATAATA